GGAAGGTTAAAAGAATTTGAAGAATTTTTGACATTTTTTTGCAGTCAACCATCTCAAGATCCTCGAAGTTGAAACCTCTCATTTGTTGTTACATGTTGCCTCAAATGAGGAATGACTTCAAATGTCCAAGGCAATAAAAAAAGAAAAATATGTCACAAATCAAATGTTTGAATTATTCAATAAAATATTAAAAATATCAAAAAAAAATTGTTACCATGAAAGTTCATGAAAATCCAATAAGTTATTTGTCTTTGAAGATAATGGGGCCAACAAATATTTAACAGTCAATTCGTAGCTTTCATGGTCCCAAGAAAAGTTATTGAGAGCCTCAATATCCTTTGGGAACTTCACTCCGTTAAGAGGTATGTTCTTGTTGACATCTTTGGACATAAGTACATTATGTACAAATCAAACTAAGTACGATGACTTCTTATGCTTTTTAAAAAGTTTTTGTCATCCAACAAAGATACCAATCTGAATTTTTGAAGCTTGGGCCAACAAGGGACACCAAGTCCTCCTCAATTGACTGTTCATTATTTATTGTTTCATTGTCTTCTATTTTCTTTCGTCTGCGAGGTTATTTTTTGGTGGTAAAAACAGGAATGAACTGAGAGGGAGAATGGCAATTTAGACCGATAACTATGGCAAACTCCTTTTTATCAAATCAAAGTGGTGTGCCACAATAATTGACCCAAATCTCATCCTTTTTTCCATTATCCTCAAACATAAACCTTCTTTCCAGAAGTTCATAGACAATGCTCATTTGAAAACGTACATTATTATTCAAAGGCAAATCAAGATATTGTCCAAAACAACTATTTCTAAAAGAACCTTTCAAATCATTCTCTCCGAGTATTTTTCAGAAAGAGTCAAAAGATATTTTTAACAACATTAGGCTGAAAATGCACAAAACAAATTATTTGCATTGACAGTTTTGACAACATCTTAGGATGAAGAACTATTTAAATAAATAATAATATCATCTTTTTCTTTTTCTTCCTCTACTCGACGGTATTCTTTATCATATTTTGTTCTTCTTCTTCCTTAAAATCATTTTTCTTCTTCTTTTCCTTCTCAGCTTCTTTTTTTTTCTTGTCTTTCTATCTCATCCTCAATTTTTTCTTGTCCTTCTTCCTCTATTTGAACTTCATGTTCGGGTTAATCATCTCCTTAATCTCTTTCTTCTATTTTTTTTGTTTCTTTAGAGGATTGAGAAGGGAGAATTTCTTCTTCTACTTGACAAGAAACGCCTACTTCTACTTCATAGGGGAATACTTACGTTTCTACTTGAGAAGAAGAAGATATTTCTGGTTGTACTTGAGAAACTCCTTGGGATGTAAGCTCTTCTAAAGGAGGACGGTAATTTACCTTCTTCTTCCTATCATTTTTACTCCTTGATTTCCTGTGAGTTGTTTCTACAGTTTTTCTTTTCACAAGAGGCATTTTAAATGAAAAAATGAGGTAAAAATAATACCCTATCACTGCTCTAAAAATTGTCAACAACCAACCACAAGAACAATAAAAACAAATATTTATTAACAAGAACAATAAGAACAACACAAGAACACATCACCACTCACATATCCTCAAATTCAATTCAACAGCACACATGAAGCGGGAAAAAAAATCTCAACCACTACAAATTAGGATTTTTTGAAACAGTTTTATTTCATAAAAAAAAAAAAAGAATAACAACCAACCTACGAACAAACTACTCACTAACCATTAAAAACATCCTCATTTAAAACTAAAAAATATTTCAAAATCCTAATTTAATTTTACCTTATTTAAGAAGACATCAATGTGAAAAAGAATTATCGACAATGACGAGCAGTGATACTATTATAGAGAAAGAGAAACTGCAACAAATTACACTTATATTGTAGAAAAATAGAGCAACGTCTAGTGGATCTATGGAGAAATAATGGAGAAAAATAAAAAGAGAAACAAGAGAAAGAAAAGAGAAGAGAGAGAGAGAAACACGAAAAGTAATTTTTGTGAATATGAAGTGTCATTTTATATAGGAGAGAGAAAAGATGATTGTTGGTTAATCATTTTTTAGTTTTTTTTAAAATTTTGGCAACATAATGTTACAACATATGTCAATTTTAAGTTGTGCCGACACAAGTGACATTTATTGCCACATATTACATTTTTGTTGGGACACATGCATATAATTGTGTGATTTTTTCCAACAGAAGTTATATGTGTTGTCACAAATATCAAATAATTTTCTACATAATTGACATTTGCTCCAACATAAAAAAATATAACAATAACCATAATCATTAATATATCATCCAAAAAGGAACACTATTTACCTATTGTTTCTTAGAACTAATCAACATAAATATTTTAAATGGTAATACATAACCATCAAATCTAAATCTATTCAGTAAAAACCATAATATTTTCATTGGGAGATACGAAGTGTGATTATATAGGTCTAGCCCTCTATGAGTCTTCATTGTTACTAACATAGCCACTCTGAGCCTTTAAAATTTCATAATTCCATAGAAGTGAAGCATATCTCATGCGAAGAGATTCAGCAACAATTCCAAAAGATGGTACTTGTAGTCCATCACTCAAAAACTCAGCAAACGCAGCAATAAAAAGCCCACAGTCCCTACATCATGTGTCATCTATTAACAAACTAATAAAATTACATTTGTAAATGGTAAGACAAAAAAAATGATTTATACAGACTATCACTCGCTTGCTGGGTAATACCATCAACATATTTGACTTTGAATGGGTGTTCTTGCCCTAGTAAGATTCAACAATGGACCAGTTAGTTCGATTTTTTTGCTCAAAAAAGGCACTATATTCAAGGTACTTTGGCAACATTATTGACAATTTTTTAATCTCACAGTACGATTTTCCGTTTATCCTCAATGAGGACATTGAGTCATACACCTTTATGCACCGTTCCTTCAATAAAATAACTGCCAGGACCCAATGAAACTCGTCATTACAATTTACCAGGACATAAACCTCATCGGTCATGTGCCAAGGCAGTCCAGCGGATATACTAAACCCTTTGATAGTGTTAACGATGTTCTTCTCATAATGAACAACATTTGCCTTGTCGATGTATATTTTGAAAAAACAATCAGTAGTGGTGTATCGATATTTTGAATTACTTTGTTGCTTCGACTTCTTTCGCAAATAATAAAAAATGACATCCACATGTTGCACAGATGCATCAACAACAACTTATGTATCAATTATTTGTATATATGTAGGTGTTAATTATAAGATAAGTGAGCATGGTTGTACCTCATCATTCCAACCCTGTTGGGTTGGGACATTAGGTAGAACAAGTCTTTCATCTCCGGGAACGCAACTACAAAATCTAGTTGTTCAAATCCAAGTCTCGAGCAATTAATTAAGTAGTGTCCATCCTTGTCTTTTCTGTAATTTTATAAACATTAAAAATAATTAATTAGTGGACGTCAAGAATATTAATAATAGTTGATTGAATTTACTTTTTTGCATGATTCTTGTAAAGACCCTCGTTTATCCATTGCGAGAAGGATGACATTAGTTGAGTTGGACCATCATCGAAAATGTTAAAACCTTCAAATGGATATTGTTGTTGCACATCATAAGTGACGATTTTGTCCTTGCCTTTTAAGGTTGAGCAAGACAGTGGAGCAGTAGTCATTGGTATTTTTCTATTTCTGATATTAGATAGTGATCTGGAAATTGATTTTTTCAACCTCCTAAACTTTAAAGGCTGTGAAATCTTCTTTGATGAATGAACATCAATATTAAATGTCATTTCATTAATAGTATTTGGCCAATCGTAAACACGATTAAAAAATAATCACGTCGTTGTTTGTATCTTTCTCATCGACAGGAAGAACATTTGATGTTAGAAGAGGAAGCAACAAAAGATTAAACATTTGTTGCCATAAATGAACCTTCATGTGACATTTTATCTACAAGGTAAACAAAAAAAATTAAGAAGTTAACATCTAATTATAAAAAATAAGGAACATTAATTTATACTTATGTTGCCACAGATGAACCTTCTGTTACAATACATGAGTAACATGTTACTATAGATGACCATTATGTTGTCATAACACATAGTGACATGTTCCAACATATGATAACTACATTAAAATTTCTACCAACATATGACTCCTCTGTTGCAGCATATGATACTTCTTTCAACAAATGAGTTATATGTTGGACAACTAAACAGACTATATTTCTACCAATATATCAACAAAATGCTCACAAAAAGAAGAACAAAAGCAACAAAAAATGACTTTTCACTGAATAACAACAACGCATACACATTTCCCAAAAATTAGGTTTTTGGATTTCTCATTTTTCTTTCGTAAATAAGAAATAACAGGTCCCATTAGACCATAATTCATTTTTCATATATATAGAACAATTTCTTGTTTATTAACCCAAGAAAAGATCCAACTATCAATAATGTGTTGTTCGCAGTCCTAAATTTTTTCAAAGTAATAACGGCTTACCCGTTTTAAGAAGAGTGACGGTCGACGTCGGCGTTCAGCTTCAAATAAAGTGATGATTGGTGATAAAGAAGCAGAGAATGAGAATATCTAATCTAGATTTCGATAAGCTGTTAATGGTCGGATTTTCCAAGGAAGAAAAACGTTGGAGAGACAAGAGTTTTGAATGATTTTCTTTACTTTTTTATACTAATTAGGTTAAAATTAAAATAGTTAAATTTGAACCTCCTTGATTAAAGTGTCAGTAAAAATAAAAATAAAATTTATTTGACACCTTTTGATCAAATTGTCACTAAAAAAACCTACTCAACTTATTTGACCCCTTTTACCTGGTTTAGACTTGTGAGTCACCCTGAAGTTCATCAGTTGCAGATGTGGCGTCAAGGTCAGAGTCTTCTGCGGCGAGCGTTGATATTAAACCATAGCTGCGGAATCAGACAAATCATTACTGGTTAAGCGTCGTCTTCGATCCCAAGTATGCCTATATGGAGGCTCAAGAAAAAAATGGGAAAAGAAAGTTTAATGATCGCCAAGGAGCTTAAGCGCTTGCACTCCAACACCGTTTGGTTTGAGCGGTTTATGAAGTCTCATGTTTCTCATCTACACAAATCTAACCTCGTCACTGTTCGTGCTGAGTGCCAAAGACAAGATCTCCCTTACCTCTCCATGAGGGTAACAATTTGAATTTTTCTTTTTTCTTTTTCTGCTACCAAGTTGTAATCCCTTTTTGGTTATAAAAATTGATTATTGTACAATATATAAAGGAAATTGAAGAAAAATATGGTCCACCATTTGATTTCTAGTCCTTTTAGGTAAATAACTCAACTTTCAATCAAGTGAATCATTTAGTGTTTTTGTAGCATGGGTGCTAGCAAATAATATAATACTAATTTTAGAAAATATGTACATAAAATATCTAGTTTTACAAGGTTAATGTTCCCCAATTTTTGCTATAACCGTTGAGTTCATTGCGTATTGGGAAAAATGTTCAAGTCTTATTTTGTTCAGAATGTCTATGTATTGTTGTACTTTCATACTCCTTTGACATAATGTAACATTGTGTTTCACGATGTTGAACATGTGTGATTCCTGCTTGAAACATTATCAATTATACGTTGATGGTTAATTCATCCTAATGAATAGATATGTGATGTTCAACCTATATTTAATCCTGATGTTCACTTTAAGTGGTAATTCTAGAGTAGAGAGAGAAAAGTTTGCCTAGTGCTAACCTCTTTCTTTAGCTAATATGGAGATGGAATTTATCCACTTTCATTAATTAGTTATATAATGTTTATACTACTGACTTTTACTCTTAAACTTTGCAGTTGTACGAGGCTGTGCGCAAAGAAATATGGTATCGTCCAGACATGTTCTTTTACAGGGATATGCTTTTCATGCTTGCAAGAAACAAAAAGGTAGATGAAACAAAGAAGATATGGGAAGATTTGAAGAAAGAAGGGGTAATATTCGATCAACATACATTTGGCGATCTTGTCAGGGCTTTTCTAGATGGTGGATTATCTTTAGAGGAAATGCACATATATGATGAGATGAGGCACTCTCCTGATCCTCCTATGTCTTTACGTTATCGTGTTATGTTGAAGGGGTTACTTCCTTACCCCGAATTGAGAGAAAAAGTGAAGGATGACTTTCTGGAACTGTTACCAGACACTGTAGTTTATGATCCACTTGAAGATCTATTTGATGAGGAGGAATGGAGAAAGGAGAGCGATGATGACTAGAATATGCTACTGACTTTGATTTTCTCAATGGCATTTTAATTTTCCTCTGGTCAAGAAGATAGTGGAATGGTAACTAGGGAATGCACTGACTTGAAATTGTGTAAGCTGATGGGTGTTTCTGCCTTTGAGAATTTGAAATGTGACCCACGAAGACCGTAGAATATTGGAATTTGATGCAGGTATGATCTTACCTATGATATCTAAACTGAAGGTTGGTTGAATGCGTCTGATGAAGTGGATATATCCATTTTTGCAATTTGTGTCGGAAGAGAATCTCCCAACGTTCTTGGTTTCTCCTTATTAAGTTTTACTTTGATCAAAAGTTTATGAATTCCTGTCATTGTCAGCCATTATCACCATCTCATTCAGTTATTCTTATGAGATTGTGAATGTTTTGTTAGGATAAATGCTCCATCAAATAAATAAATTAATATATGGGTTAGTCATCCAAATTATTGGTTTTGGTATATGGTTCTTCAGGGCACTCCGGTTTCTGCTGTTCTATTCTTGAACTCGAGCAATATTTCTTATAGTCATACCATGCAATTTACTTTTGATCTCGACGTGTTTGAAGTATCAGGCCATGTGATCATTGTATAACATATTTTCAAGGCATGTCTGGCTACATTTCCTTCTGTCATCTATTGCAGGGCATTTTGCTATATCTTCTGTCGAAGGATTTTTATAAAAAAAAATGTCGCTTCAGGCCCATTAATCTTGAAATTACACTTGGCCAAATTGAGCAAGAAAGTGTAGTCTTCAGTTAGAGGAAGCTACTCTATTCTATAATCTCAAACTGCTAGTTTCTCTGAGATTTTTCTTTTGGGGTTTTCAATATGTCAATATTACATATTTTGTTGCTATGAAATTTTTGCTTCCTAGATCGTACCTTGTCCAACAAGCACCATAACGTCAAATGGAGAACCTAATTAATTTTGAGGCACCTATTTGTTCGTCTCAGAAGTTGAATGGGTTTCATTTAGAATTTGGTTGTACCCGTCTCATGGTGCTCGCTTATTATGATCATTTGTCCTTTCAGAACAACCCATATATATGATGTTTTCTGATTGACCATTGACAAACCAGCATTCTTTCATGTTCATGATGGAGTCTATTTCTACCTGATGGTCTAGAACTTTGAGATATGTACCCCATTACATTCACGCAGTTGTATCTTATTTGCTAGATACGTTCTTTAGTGAGAGTTTTCTCCTCTTGCCTAATAATATGTAAAATTATAGATTATTCCACAGTTTTCGAGTCTTAATGTCAGTAGTATCAACCATTCTAATGTTGGAACATAATCTAGGCTATTCCTGCTTGTACTTGAAATCATATTTTGATAGAGACAATCAACTCTTACATTAAATAGGAAAGAGAAGGACTGGGCATAAAAGACTATATAGCAATCATTTATGTTGAATCCAGCACTCTTAGGTTTGAAGCAGGGGCAGATCTAGCTCTTAAGGTATGCGCTCAGGGGACCAGTATCTTTTGTTCATACCATGTATTTGTATTAATTAAGAGATCCATAAAATTTTATTCATAGTTGATTGTGAAACCAGTTATTATTTTATGTTAAATTGAAATTATAGTAGGAATCCATAAACTTCAAAATCCGGATCCATCATTGGTTTGAAGTGATACAAAATATTTGTTATGATGCTACGATCTAAATGTTCCTGCTGTACTACTCATAATGAAGAGATTATCATGCACCTTTTTTTCGTACAAGACAGATTGCAAAACATGTTTGGTCTTTGGTCAGAGTTGTGGTATATTATTTAGAAAGGGTGGTAACATAAAACAATTACTCATGTTTAGTGGCTATATAAAGCTAATAATGGTATCCATGCAGTGCTATTTCAATGCCTCCCAACTATTATATGCTGGGAGATACGGAAAAATAGATGTGCTTGCTAGGTATGATAATGTTCACTTGTCTGGCAGAGTTATATTATTCAGCAGGTGTGTGAAAACATGACCAAAATTTTTATAGCCAATTTCCCTGTCACGACCCGAGCCTACACCCTGGACGTGGCCGACACTCAAGAACCATTGCTGGTCCCCAAGCGAACCCTCATCCTGGCTGACTACAAGCGGAAACTGATTCAAGCACACAAAGCTTAAAAACTAAATAAAATCAATAACTCAAATACAAAGCTTTAACTCAAAAGAAAACTCTGAATAAAAATAAGATATTCAACTCGCCATAAAATAGGCAACTTAAGTCTTTAAAACATTTAATAAAATAAATGAATAATACAGACTTCTCAAATATATTGACTATCTATGAAGCCTCTAACTGATAAAGATGGAAGTCGGGACAAGACCCACGACATCCTAACAA